TTGAAGGCCAGAAAAGAAGGTTCAGGAAAGATTTCTTTCAGGATGGGGTCCCGTAACTATATGAAGATACCCTTGATGGCTATTTCATTAGCAGACAAGTGATCAGTCCCAGCAAAGATGTTTTTAAATTAGCTCAAGTCATCAATTTTCCAGTACACTAGAATGCTTATCTGAAAACTTACATTTGAATAATGAAGGTACGTCTGTAAGGCATATCACTTATATGACTCCTCAATTATCTGAATGAAATCCATGTATGCCATTTCATTTGAATAAATGGGGTTCTGCTATACAACACTAGGAAATAAAGCGGGGCAGGGAGTGGATAGAAGCAGCATTGGAATTCCATTCCATTGCACAAAGAGCATTCTCTCATGTGTATTACTGCTCTTTGTATCTTGCTTATAAATCAGTGAGAATAAATCACCCATAAAGCATCTAAATTAAGAAGAGTGAACAGAAAGATTATCCAAAATAGAGATAAAGAAAGAGGAGATCAGGCAAAGAATTTCCAACACTTTTCTGGCTCATTCATATCCCCCCTCTGCACACGTATCTGTGAAAGCGTGTCTGATGACCAAAATTCTCCATTTTCCTGTTTAGTCAAGTTATTAGGCCTGGAGTAAGAACTTTTCTACATAACAGAATTTTAGCCCGTTCAAACATGCTTGTGAAGCGTCAGTCTTTAGACATTTGTAATGCCGTCTATCACTAAAATGTCTGAGCACCTCACGGACTTATTTAGGCTACATCCACATTACAATAGAAAGTCGACTTTAGCTATGCAACTCCAGTTACGTGAATAACAATAGCTGGAGTCCATACATTTTAAGTTGAATTACCCTGGGCTCTACATTGCGGGGCGGGGTGGGTGGAAGATGTAAGAAACTCTCCTGTCAACTTCTCTGACTCTTTTCATCCAGGGTAGCGTAACAGGGTTGATGGAACAGCAATCTGCAGTTGATTTCGCAGGTCTTAACTAGATTCACTAAATTGATTGCCAGTGGATCGATCTCAAAGCCCGCCTATAGTTTAGCTATAGGCTTATTCTTACCAAACAGCTGTAAGCTATCCCCATTTTACAGATGAGGCTCACTGAGTTGCCCAAAGTTGCACAGGTAGTCTTTGGTGGAGCAGAGAAAGGAACCCCAGGTTCTAATTAGCTGATGTGCTGCTGAACACAATTTGTTTCACTAATTTGCCTGCACTAATTGTTTGGTCATGGCCAAAATTATGTCCAAATTAGTAACATGGTGACTCAACCCCCTTCCCCACCCCAAAAAAGTCCTCCCTTCTAGCCACAGCTCTTCATGGGATAAATGGTGGGCCATGCACAAAGCCTAAGTAAATAGTTGGATGTCATTGGAGTTCGGGGAGCGAAGGAACATGCGGCCTACCCAAACAGTGGGCTATAATAGTCCCTGTGTCTCTTGAAGCCACCACTTCCACAGGAGCAAGAATGATGAACCAGTGGATCCACACAACAATAGATCCACTGGATCCTCCCCAAAGACATAACCCTTTACTTATTCACAGCTCTATATCACACAAAGAGGGATGGAACCCTTACAAGGAATCCCTGCAGTCTGGCACAGCAAGCAACACTGGTACTACACATGCTCAAGGCATTCCACACAGGGAGTGGAGGAGTATGATACACCCCAAAGAGGCACTCCAGAAAAAGCAAAGCTCCTCTCTCATAAAGGAGACCAAGGTGTCCAGCACTTGAATCTAGGCTGTTAGGTTTTCTGTGCACTAATAAAACTGGAATCATTTCCTTTCATATTAACACTATAGAGGCTGGATGAAGGGTTAAGTAGAATTAAACTGTATTATGATCAACAAGAGGGAGAACATAAGGTGAAAAAGAAAAGAACTACAGGCTGTCCCCGGGTTACATGGATCCGACTTACATCGGATACCTACTTACAAACGGGGTGAGGCAACCCTGCACTAGCTGCTTCCCCCCAGCAGACCAGGGATATGCGAAGCTAGCGCCCCCCTCCCCCCCCCAGCAGACCAGGGAGACGCAGAGTGGCTTTTCTCAGCAGACATCTCATCTTGAGAATAAAGGACTGAGGGAAGTGAGGTGTGGGAGAATAAAACTGAGCTCTGGAGAAATGTTTGGCTAGAGTTTCCCCTACAATATGTACCAGTTCCGACTTACATACAAATTCAACTTAAGAACAAACCTACAGTCCCTATCTTGTACGTACCCCGGGGACTGCCTGTATTAAGGAATCTAGCCCATCCACAGTAAGGGAGGAGTTTAGCTCTATGCCCCTGGAAAGGGGTGTGGCCTTGGGTGGAATGGGCAAGACTAAGGTGTAGCCTCCCCCAGCCAGCTCTCAGTGCCTCCTGGACTGTGCTACGTAGGGCTCTGGTGGTGATTTAAAGGGCCTGGAGCCCTGTGCCCTTTTAAATTGCCAGAGTCTGAGGCAGCTGCCTCCTTTGCACCCTCCCACTATTGACAGCCTTGTTTTAGCACCAGCTTGTTCTCTTCAGTATGTTGAAATGCATGAGAGCAAGTGAACAATTTCTGAGACATAATGCGGACAGGTGGAAAAACATTTGCTAACCCATAGGGACTGAGTGTTCCAAGTAATGAGGAGGTCAGTATGTATTCATGTGATGCGAACAGCCATTTTACTGCAGAGCTAAAACACATTGTCTTGTTTCTGTAGTGCACTATTGCATGGAAAGAGCTCTTTATGTTCCAATATCTGGGGAGATGAAACAGAAGAGGGAGGTCATTAAAAGGAAGATGACAGAGGGAACCCATAAAGTGAACTTTCTAGCTGAGACTGCTGGGGTCAGAGCAGAATAAGTGATTCCTTGTGAGAGAATGGCCTATCTGCCCTCTGCGTGGTGCTGATTAACTAAGCAGATTTCTCTCTGGTTGGGTTATTACTAATGTGCTGTGTGTGTGTGTGTATGTACACTAATGTGCTGTGTGTGTGTGTGTGTGTGTGTGTGTGTATGTGTGTGTAAAATGAGCCAGATTTCCATTTTATTTTCTAAGCAGTGATGTTGCTGCAGAGGAGAGTGAGGGGAGTGTGCCCTTGGTTGAGGAGCCACAGGAGAGTTGCATTACCAATCCCAGTCATGTCACAAATACAGCTTGATGGAACACACCTGAATTCTCTCTGTTGGTTTGTTTATAGTCTCCTCTGTCATCCAGTATCTGTCTGTGCACATGAGACATGGAGAAAGACAGACCGAGAGAGGGAGTCTGGAGGCATTTCTAACAGAGATGCCAAACTGTCAAATAATAAACCAGGCAGAGGCTCCCTGATGGCTTCACTTCAACAGGGAGACTCCCTTTTGTGACCATGTGTGTGGTGCCTGCTGGTTATTTTTACTCCCATTAGAGCTGTCTGATACAGTCAAGTAGGTTTGAAGCTTTCACACTCACAGTTTTCCTTTAATTTATTATGACTCTTTCCTCTTTCCTCTTTCTTGGTAGTTTTCAGAGATACACATCACATCCTCCTTTCTCTTTTGACTATTTTCATGGATCTGCATCCCAAAGTTAAAAAATGAATAAAAATCAGTACTTTTTTAAGGCTTCGGGGACAAAAGAAAAAGTACATTCAATTTAGGAAGCCCTCTAATCTGTGGTTATACAGAATGGCTTTGTAAGATAAGATTAAAAATTTCATGAATGTCCCTCTTCATCCCTGGAGACCCAACCATTTGTATCAGCTATTGTCAGCGGCGGCAGGGCTTGATAACAGCTGGCTAGAGACGTGACCGCACAGCAACACAACAAGAACTGGGCAGCCTGGTTCATAAATCTTCAGCAAAACCATTCCCCCAGCAGAGCTGTGAATCTGTTACTGTCATAGTCCCAGGGAAAATGCTTTGTCCTTCAACAAGTCAAAACCAGAACTTCAGCATTATCAGGGGCTTGCTTGGACAGAAATATACATTGAAATATATTCCATTGTCCTTTAATTGCAGCCCTCATAATTGATCATGGATGTAAATTTGAACTGAATTGTGTTTGATACATGTCTCATTTTCCAAAGTCATGTTTTCCTTTCTGCCCCTTTGGTGGAATTGGTAGTGTAGGGCAGGGTACTGAAATCCAGTTATAACTACTATCATTTATATATAGGGATAATTACTTCGTTCCTTTCTGCCCCTTTGGTGGAATTGGAAGTGTAGGGCAGGGTACTGTAATCCAGTTATAACTACTATCAGTTATATATAGGGATAATTACTTCAGGAGTCATATTCATGATACATCAGATTCTGATGACTTCTTCATAGTGGGTAGCATCTTGCTCCAAATCTCGTTAAAGTCAGAATTTGAGCATCTGGAGTATGTCCATTGACTTCAATTGGACTGCTCACAGACTATGCAGTATGATTTAGGGTGGCAGAAAAGCTGGCCTATGTACTTGATAATGTTCATGAGAGAAGCTGAATTTGTATGCCGTGCACCCAGTCCTGCTCTCACTAAAGCAAAAGACCTGTCAAATTCAAAGGACCAGGATAGATCCAAAGGTCAATATCCCACTCGTTGTAATGGTAATTGCTAGTGAGATTACACCAGGCAATATTAGAAAGTGACCAGGTGGAATTGCTGTGGAGCCAGAACTAGCAATTCCTGGGCCTCATGCACCATGTTTCGTAAAGGTGAGAAATGAGCCAGCACTTTCTAGTATGTTAGCCTCTTGCAGGGGTTTAACTGCAGGCATGGTCTAACATCACAGTACTTGGACCATTGTGCTGTTACTTCGGACACTAGCCTGGACCAGAATCCAAGAATGGGCTTGTTAAAGAATCAGTAAGACTAAAAGTTCACTGTGCTTTAGGTAGTAAAATAGCATCCTTATGCACAAACACAATTCTTTTTTTCAAGAGATGTTTAATTCACAGCAGTGCTATAGATTCACAAAGTCCATTCAGTAGGAATGCTACAATTAAAAATACATGATCCTAATTTAAAAATAAAATATTGCTAATATACAGTTTTTCTTTTTTCTTGTCAGCTCCCTCTCCAATTGCCTTGATCCAAGCTAAAGAAATAACAAGGCACAGTGTTGCATTGGCCTGGCTGGAACCTGACAGACCGAATGGAGTTATCTTGGAATATGAAGTCAAATATTATGAGAAGGTATTGCTCAAAATGATCAGATGAGGTTTGTTTCCATTACAGTCATTCCCAGATAGGCTCTTATTATCAGGACCAAATAGGTTTGGTTTCATAATCATATCCAATTAGGGATTTCATACACTTGAGCAGTTACACTGAATAATGAGAATAATATACTGCACTCTACTCTAACAGTGTATTTGGGTTTTTCTTTTTTTCCTCCCTTAGAACCAGATTTTTACAGCGAGCATATTTATAATGAGAATCAATATAGCTGAGAAGTAGTGATACATTAGCCTTACGTCAGAGATAGAAGAGCAATAATGAAATATGTAACACAGTAATAATAATAAGATCTGTTTAAGTCGATGGCTTCTGCTTAGAGTGATGGTGTGGGTTTGATGGTTTTTAATAGAAAATACGGAAAAAATTGCATTCTTCAGTCTCTCCAAGTCATAGGAAGGCATTATTTCTACAAAATAATTTGTCTCTCCTCAAGTACAGAACTATGAAAAGAGCTATTTGCTTTCAAGGTTGCCAGGAAAATGAACAATTACCTTTTCTTTCTCGCTCCCTTTCTTTTTTTTAAAGGTAATCACTTATTTGCCTCCCTAATAAAGACAGAAAAGAAGAGAGCAGCTAATTTTCACTGAAACTAGATTACAATATTTTCTGACACATTTTCCAGTCTGAAATAGACTTTAAGACATGGGCTTTCTGGCAGACATTTCCCAAGGGTTTCTTGGATATGTAGCTCCTGGCTGGAAGAAGGGGTAGCGGGGAGAGGGGGAAAAGGGAAGCGGGCAAGAATAAAATGTTATTTGTTCATCAGCAGGATCATGTTTGAAGACCTGGCTGCTTTCCAGAGAATTTTGCTATTCAATTTCTGAAGCAGTCACTGATACCTGAATATTAGATCTATCATCCCTATCATCCTTTCGGGCCAGCCCTGAAATCCCATTTAGTACTAGTAATGGCAACAACAAAAATTTTTATGGGGATCTTTTGAAAAGTCAGTTGCTAATAGTCAGAGCCTCAGAACAGATTTGGCAGTGAATTGGGGGTGCAAGAAGACATTTTTGGGTACTTCACCTCTATGCTCTTTTGCTGCCAGGACCAAAATGAGCGCAGTTATCGCATTGTGAAGACAGCCTCCAGGAACACAGATATCAAAGGCTTGAACCCTTTGACTTCATATGTGTTTCATGTGCGAGCCAGGACAGCAGCGGGATATGGGGACTTCAGTGGGCCATTTGAGTTCACGACCAACACAGGTAACATCTGCATCATTCACAGAAGACTGATAGTAGATACATTCTTTCCTCCTCTTTCTTTGTTTCTTTTTTTTTTTCCCCCGACTGACTTTCTTTCTCTTGGAAGACTCAGTGGAGAGTACATTGAATTTGACAGAGCATTGGGACTTTGACTTCATTTATTTACTTGGATGCGACATCCATATTGTACCATACTTCTGTAGGGCGTTGTAATTTCTACACATGGATGTTGGTTGATTTAGCCTTAGAAAATGTGACATTGCACAGCCATTTGGATGTACTGCATATTAGATGTGGTATACACTATAATGCTCTGAAGTTTATGTCTTTGACTCATGGGAGGTTTATATTCTAAACTTCCTTTAATGCTAATATGAATTATATGCATACATTTCTGGTGTATCTCATATAAAGAAGAATAAACTCCAATTACTCTACCTTTTTTTAAATATACTCTCGTTTTTATGAGACTCGGTGAGGTATGTTGTGAATGTCTCCTTGCTCTTGTATTTCCTCTTAGACAGTTTTGCAAAAGGAGGCATTTGTGGATTGTGTTGTCTGTGGGTAGGTTCTCACTTGTTCAAACCAAGGTAAAATGTAATTGCTTACAAAAATGTGAATGGAGTGTTTGCTTCCTAAGACAGTGGCAGGAAGAGGATATGACGGAACCTCTTTAATTTCCTTTATGCAGATCTGTTTAAATCACTTCAGGTCACGTCATTCAGTGTTAACTTCCCTCGGGCATGGCATGAGAAAACTTAAATAGTCAATCCGCCAGGCAGAGGGAAGACATTTTAAAACAACTTGTTCTGTTTGTGTCAGTGAGGAATGAGCATCTGGTCCATTAAAAAAATAAAGTAAACTGGGAAGCAATTCAATGGGCAATAAAATAGGCATTATACCCTCTGACTCAGAATGGAGGGGGCACAGGAGAGGAAGTCCTTGTTCTCAGCGAGTTGAAGTTCCCCAAACCATTATCAAACATAATGTCTTTAACTAATTAGGGCCCTCCTGGAAAATGATGTTGAGTGAATACATAATGAAGGCCTGTGACTAGCTTTGGGTAATACTCTAAACTGCCTCTGCAAACCAGAACGCAGCACTAAGTGTTGCCCATGCACATTTTGCACTGTAGATGACTGCTTAGGTGTGTGTCACTAACTGATGTCTTCTCTGTCTCTAGTTCCTTCCCCCATCATTGGTGACGGTACCAATCCCACAGTGCTTCTGGTCTCAGTGGCTGGCAGTGTTGTTCTTGTGGTCATTCTCATTGCTGCTTTTGTCATCAGCAGGAGGTAAGAACTTAAGCCTCTCTCTCCCCCTCTCCCTTTCATAAGGGAGCTTTTTGTCTGGTCCAAACAAAGATGAATTCTTTGATTAGCATCATAAACAGTGCATTTGCATTACAAGTCCTCTCCCATGTAGCTTTGATCTTCTCAGCATTAGTACCACAGCAGTATGTAATGTAATGGTAGTAGTTCCAGCACTATTTGCAAAGCTGATTTCAATAACTGGGGTTGAGAAGCAAGCCAATTGGAGAGCTGTGGATATTGTAATTTGATGTTGAGTTTAATGAGTCTGAGTACAGGGGATCTCCTTGGGTTGGCTTGTTATTTGCAGAGGAGGAAATGCAGTACTGCAGTGAAGTAAACTACATGAGGATGCTCAAACTATCTTGTTTGGGTGTTTTTGTTTTTAATACCCTGTCCTGGTTGTCTGTAAGTGTCTGCATCAGCCATCGATTCTGTTCTTTCGTTGTGGGGAAGAAAGGCACTAAAGAGAAGCCAGAGGCATTCAACACTCAGTACATAGTAGCATATCAGGCTGTATCTGTGGCTTACATTGTTGGGGCAGAACCATAATCTCCCATCAGGCACCCACTGCTGCCCCCCCAAACAAGCTTTACCCCTCAGAAAAATCCCTACAACATATGTGAGGGGAAGGAATACAAGTTGTTCCACTCTCTATAGTAGGGTCTGATCGCATTAGCTATAAATGAGCACAACTTCCTTCTGATCTACTCTTCCATTTCAAATCATCTTAAAAGGAACAGTTAAATCAGTGTGATTGTAATATCTGGTAAGTAGTCATGCATTGTAATGGCTTTCTGTGGGTGTTCAGCTCAAAGCATCCTTGCTGGCAGGAAGAAAGAGGGAAAAGAACATATGAAAATGTAATGCAGAGAGACAGGTTTATTAAAAGCCATTGCAACAGAAAATAGCATCAGCAGGGCTTGATGACTTAATCTCCTCTCTGCTTTTATTGATCACTTTATTATTTAAGGCCAGATTGATAGCGGGATACATTGGATTTCTAATTATGAGTCGCCACCTTAGAGAATTGAGCCTGTCGAGTTGTTCTGAGATGATTCCTTTCCCACCTCCTCCTGTGGAAAAAAAATGCCACTTCCCAAGGCTGATAAACACGGCTTGGTGATTGGCCCTCAATGGATCACTTTTAGAAAATGAAATGTCAACCCCTTGCCCTCATATTGATTCTCTTTAGTATCGGCCATAAAGCTGTCAAAGAAAAGGCTGCCTGGAGCCAGGTAGCTGACAGACTCACTGATGCGCGCTCAGCCACTCCTGCTCTCCACTCAGGCTGTCTGTTTAGTTATCTCTGCCTAGAAGTGTTTAAATTGGGCAAAACACAGATAAAGAGCAGGCTGGTAGCCAGGATGAAAGGCTGGCTTAAGTGCTGGTGGGCATGCGGATAAGTTAGTCAAGTAGCAGTGGGTTCGAAGGTGCCCCAAAGCTCTGCCTCAGGAGGTTTTGGAGAGGCTGTGCAAGAGAAAAGACATAAAGTAAATGAGATGCTGAAGCAGTGCAAAACATGATGCCCCTTTCTCGGGTGTTGTGAATATCTCTGCATTGTTGGGTGTTTATCACAGCACTTGCTGCTGTGCACATTCACCTCCAGTAGCTGAGACAAACTGCCCCGTTTTCAAAAGCAGGTGCCTTAATGGGGCACCGGAGGCCATGCCTGCACTAGAAACTTTTGCCAGTATGGCTATATTGAAAGAAAAGGTGCATTTTTGTGAATTTTTGGATGCTCGAGAGTAGGCATCATCACACCAACACAAAGGGACTTTTGCCAGGATAGCTTATTTTGCTTGCCAAACCACCTGCACCAGGAGATATTGCCAATAGAGCTATACCATCCGACTTTTGCTAGTGTACAGCTGGCCTAAATCTCACAGTTGCACTATCACATCTGCACTTAGGTATATAAACTTCCATTCTGTGCAGGTACAGAAATGCAAATGTGGGATACATAGCTCCATTTAGGGTGCCCATCTTTGAAACTGGGATGAATATCGCCCCTCATTAAATCATTAAATCAAGTAAGTCATTACTCAAAAAAACAAAATTCAGATTAACTGCAGAAATTTTCCTAAGGACCCTGCTGCCTCCTGCTTCCGGCCAGCCCGAGAATATGTTGTTCTCTTCTGTCCCTGGGAGAGTTTGTTAACATTAGAATTAATCCACTTAAGGGTTAGTTTAAATGGCATAGATTAAGTCACGTAAATTCATACAGCAAAGGACAGATGGCCGCTTGAGTATTTCTACAAAGCTTTCTACAAGCATGCTGCTAAATTCAGACTATTATTTTCAAATACAGCTTTTGGGGAACATTTGGAGCAAGAGGATGAGGCTTTATTTTCAGAAGGGTGGAGAAAGAAATGTTTTTGAAAAGCAAATGTGTCCTGTAAAGCACTCTCTTGGCTAGTAGAAAGGGGGAGACCAAAGTTGTTAAAGGAAAAAAAAAAGCGCTGTGCCTTTAAATGGCTCCTCACGTGCCAGATGTGGCAGGGGAAAATTGTCCCCACCAGGCTTCCATTCGAGGGAAACAGGAAATACCGGACATTTCACATGTCTGGTATTTTCTAATTTTTTACCAGATGAGGGATGCAAATAACGGACCGTCTGGGTAAAAACTGGACACCTGGCAACCCTACCTCCATCTCAGTGGGCTTCAAGATTGTCGTAACCAAGGTAGTTTCCCAGGATAGGGCAGTTTTGCTTCATGCACTTGTGTATTGTAGCATCATTTTGATCGGATCCAGAGGGAGTGCATAGCTCTTACCATCAATATTGTGTGCAGTCAGCACACACCTCACTTCACGGGCATGTCACTTTCGTAATACCAGTTTGAAAAATACTATGCAGATGGAAACCAGCAGAATCTGGCAACCCTGCATGTGGACAATGGTAAACAAAGCATCACATGGGCCACACCTAGCATCCCGGTGAGCCATAGGCTGTCCATCACTGATTTAACCTGTAACTTGGGGTAGGTTCTCCTCAGCCTGTCCTCCAGGACTCTGCTCTCTCTGGCCATGTCTACAGAAATATGCAAATGGGACTAAGCGTGGAATATCACTGAGCTTCATTTGTATACCTAATCAGCTGCCATTTTTTGCAGAAGAGGCTCTTGAGCCAGAAGGCAGTAGACACACTGCCCCTTCTTGCGCAAGAAAAACCCTCTTGTGCAATGCCACTAAGCCAGTGGTCTCCAACCTTTTTACACCCAAGATCACTTTTTAAATCTCAGAACAGGCAAAGATCTACCGCCCTGCCCCTTCCTTGAAGCCTCGCCCTCTCTATTCTCCTCCTGTCCATCACTTGCTATCCCCAGCCCTTACTTACACACTCTGATAAAGTATATTTTTAAATTATGCAATACAATTAAAATCACGTGTTTATAGTTATGAAATAAATGGTCTGTTTTTTATTCATGCTATTTAAATCTAAAATGAAGCATTTATAATTATACATTTTGTGGGGACAGAGTTCTGCGGCTGGGGGTAGGGGAGAGGGTGCTGGGAGGGCAGAGAACAGGGTTCTGCAGCAGGGGACAGAGTGCCAGTGGGGACAGGTTTCTGCAGCTGGGGACAGAGTGCCAGTGGGGACAGAGTTCGGGGAGTGGGGACGGGAATGGGGGCAGAATTCGGGGAGTGGGGATGGGAATAGGGACAGAGTTCTATAGCTGGGGACAGGAGAGTGGGGACAGAGTTCTGTAGCTGGGGACAGGGGAGTGGGGACAGAGTTCAGGCAGTGGGGACAGGATTCTGTAGTTGGTGACAGGGGAGTGGGGACAGAGTTCGGGGAGTGGGGACGGGAATGGAGGCAGAATTCGGGGAGTGGGGATGGGAATAGGGACAGAGTTCTATAGCTGGGGACAGGAGAGTGGGGACAGAGTTCTGTAGCTGGGGACAGGGGAGCGGGGACAGAGTTCTGTAGGTGGGGACGGGAGTGGGGACAGAGTTCTGTAGCTGGGGACAGGGGAGTGGGGACAGAGTTCTGTGGCTGGGGGCGGGGGGGGG